TTATAGGATAAATTTTGGTAATGGCGGCTACAAAAAGTATCGTATGCGAGAAGAGGGGATCTTCCCATATTTCTAGATGGGACATAAAATTTTATATCGCCTAGTATTTCGGGACAGATCATATAGTTGTTGACAATTTTAAAAAAGAAGCTTATGTCCAGAAATTCCCTTCGATTTTGTAATGAACCCAAATTGTAGTGATTCATTACCTGGCCAAGCTTTAGATATAACCCTCCTGACGACATTTTATACTGTAAATGCTTTAGAAAATTTTTTTTTAATAGCTTCAATTATATTTACATGTACTTCATGGTCAGGAGACCAAATTAAAGAAGCATATTCCAACACAGATCGAACGAGGCAAACGTAAAGCGAAACAATAGATTTCAAATTGTTAAAATCATTAGACATTCTTACAACAAACCCCAACATTTGGTTAGCCTTACTTATCATTCTGTCATAGTGATCTGTAAACCGAAGCCTACTATCCAAATGTACTCCTAGATCCTTTAAGGAGTCAACCATGCTCAGATTAGTCTCTCCAATCATCATAAGTACATACGATAACGTTTTTTTCACGACTGAAAACCATGCACGAACACTTACCAACATTCAGTTTCAAATTGTTATTTAGGCACCACTCATGTAGCAGGTCAAGATCTTTCTGCAGCAATTTATATAGTTATTATTCGACATTATTTTATTATTTTCTGTAATTGGGTATTATACCTGTTGAGAATAAAGAACTTATTATTATTATTTGAGAGAAACTTGATGTTTTCTATTTAAAAGGCAGTATCTCCAATCTTTTAATTATATATTTGTTATGTGAAACAGTCATAAATTTTGGCTAGAAAGTTTAGAAGTTTGTTTTTAATAAAAAAAAATTTTCTGATATGATTTTTACGTTGTTGGTGCATCTCGTCCTGACCAGGCTTCTCCACCCACCAGGTACAATCCGATCAACTGCCGCTGAGTCCGGAGTTGCCAATGACCGGAGTGGCCCGCACCTACTGGACTTTATATGGGTGAAGCACATGTGGAATGTAATCTCTTGATAAATTAGTCGATACGGGTAAAATTATCGATTAATGGACGAATATATCAATAGTGAAACAGGATTGCTTATAATTCTTTGAAGATTATCAACAGTCTAACAATATATTCCATATAACTTCAGTTTATAATGAATAGCTCATCAGCCACTACATTCAACACATTTGAAAGAAAAACAAGTCCGCAAATATAAAAAATATGTCCTTGAATTACAACCAGTTTCAACTTCATATGTGTAAGTTATGTTGTTATATTATTATTTTATTACACAGAATTTGAATTGAATACTTACTTATCTTGATATTTTATCTCATATTTATTGAAAAAGGAATTTAAAGGTAATTGAAAAATTATGGTTTCAAAATTCAAATATTTTCAGATTTTTCTTTACATGACGAAATATTTATTTTGACAAATATAGTGGCTGTTTTTTCTGCGTAATACAGAAACGAAAAAGGGCCAACCTGAAAGATTAGAAGATGTAAACGTGACCTGACGAAAACTCTAAAACCGCAAAAAGGAAAAATATAATATATAATTTGTTAAATGATCGATTGAATACGAATGATACCGCTTTGTTAAATTTATTTCAGATGTAGTAGTGAATTTAACTTACATGCTGTACCTAGATTCTAGAACAGGTAGTAACTAAGTTATTCGTTTCCATTTTTCAACACAGCCATCAATTGTTTCGTCTAGTTCGTTTGGTGGAACAATTTCTTTGATTTTCACTATATTTTATTAAATATAATTACTTCTGTATTTACGTACAAAAATTTAACGGAAATTCATCCAGTATCTTTCTTTCTAATGAATTATTTGAGATATGTCGTATTCACTCAGAGAGTTTGTTGTATTCATTCAGAGTTTATGTTAGTATTTTAGAGAGCTCCGACAAAAAGAGCTCAATATTGTTCATTTTTTCAATAAAATTAAAATAATATTACAAAGAACGAATACTTCTTTCAATACTACGTAAATTCATCAAATTAAAAAAATTACCAACTTACGTATACCTTCCCACTTGTGTATATAGTCCACTTAACATAACTTTTTTATTGAAACAAAATATTACAAGAATTTTGATTTTATCATTTTCTTCTATACGCATTCAATCAATTGTAAATTGTTCAATTTATTTATTTCTGTTATAATATTGTTACATATTTACTGAAACCTTGAGAAAACATCAACAAAATGGTTTTAACCTAAAATGTATATATGTATGTATAAGTATGTTTATCCCAGTAGTTTTCCTGAAAACAGAACCATATATTTATAAAGTTATGTATAAAAGTATATAATTTCACACAATCTACATCGCAATAATACTATAGTATAACAAATCGTAAATATATTTAGTGATGTATCATAGTATAATTTCGAGTATCACATAGAGCAAATGCCAGAAATCCTTGGCATCATATAACTACACTATTAATATTTTTTAAATAATTACAATAACAGACAATATTCAGTAACATGTCAAAACTGTCTTAATATATCAATTCGTTATTGCATGATATATTTTATATCATCAGAAGTCATATTGAAAATGTTATAATGGTTTTTACAATATATTATTACAGAATTTTAACATTATAATAAGCTTCACATTACTTGTATTATAATTTCAGAGAATTTTAAAAATTTCAATGTAAACAATATAGATCTTATTGATTAAGTATTTGAAATATAGATATAGGTAGATTTGAATTTTTCAAGAAATTTTGAAAACATAATGTTATAAAATTACCAAGAACTAACCAAAACTTGTATTTTTCGAAAAGAATAATAATAATAATGACTTCATTCTCTTTTTCACACAAATTGTGTACTATAGCCAGAGGCGAAGTTTGGCATGGCTATTCTTAACGAACTCCTCAGAAAAAAGATAATTGCTGAAAATGGAGTAACGAAAAATGAAATTAACATAATTTAACAAAAATTGAACAAAATGAACTTAGCAATTGATTACCAAAAGCAAATTTTTCTCAAATAGTTTTCTGTATATAAAACAATGATTAAAATGACAAATAGAATAATCACTAGTGAAATGTAAATATAAAATATAAACTTTATACATCTATTTCAAATAGGATTTAGTAAGTTGAAACAAATTATATTTTTTAGTAAAACCAGCAGGAAGAGGTACTGGGATAAATGAATATAATGTGAAATAAAATATAATTTAAATAAAACTAAGTCGTTTTTTGATTTTCACTATAATTTAGTGAAACATAACAATATTGTTTAGCCAACACAATGGCTTCATCCTATGTAGATAATAAACCATTTACATCTCTTTGTGCGTTTGACTAAATTATAGTGAAAATCAAAAAACTACTTAGTTTTATTTGAATCATGTATTTAGATTTTCATATATTAACGTAGTTTAAGATGCTACACATATCAGAAGACATCCCCAATGATATATGTATTAATAGTATTCACAAAGTAACATAAACATAGGTAAATACTTTGTGAATAAAATTTTGTTGACCTATTTTCGACTTACTGGTGCTGGTGGGTTCAATACTCACCGTAATCTTGGGCCGTTCGGAATCAGCGTTAAACTGTAGGTCCAACATTCAGACAAGCACAGATTTTGAAAATAAAGGGTGATTTTTTAAGAGTCAAGTTTTTCAGGTTGGCGGCACTGGTTGGTAATGGCATCCAAACCTCATCTGTCAAAGTGAAAAGTTTTCAATATACTCTGCCATTTCATCATGGAAAGACTTACAAACGAGCAACGATTGCAAATTATTGAAGTTTACTATATTCGTGCTCTGTGAAAAATGTGTATCGTTTGTTACGACCATATTATGGTCGTCATAATCGACCTAGTGAATCAACAATTCGTGCTGTTATCACCAAATTTCGCACCAAGTTTACTTTGTTGGACATTAAACCATTGTCTCGCATGCGAACAGGGCGTACCTACTGAAGAGAATATTGCAGCCGTAGTGTACAGTGTTGCTGAGGATCGTGAAATGTCAATTCGTCGCCGTTCTCAGCAATTGGGCATGTGTCAAATTAGACCTTCCGAATGGACCATTTGATACGGAGCCGCGGACAACATTTACATGAAGTTATCTTTGAAATGTAAATAGCAAAGGTCAAGTTATCAATTTCAATGAAAATTTTGAATATATGATTCAAATTGAGTGTTTCATTCGATTTTAAAAAAAATTACGCTTAAAAAATTATCCTATACAACTAGGATTCATAATGCAGTATTATTATAAATCTTTTGCCAAATTAATAACAATATCATTAAAGTATTTCCGTTAATTAAAATTCTCAACATTTCTTACAATAAAATGCATTACAAACTTCATCAATCCATTAGTTATCTTTGAGAGTCAGAAGAAAGTTAATGGGCAATGACCATAATTTAGCCTCATTCTTCAAGAACACGTAAGGCTATAAATCTCGCCTATCGGTTTGTCTGTAACACCCAACATAATCAAATAAATATATTCAAATTCAGCATAGGTACACGAAAAGTTTCAGCTTTCAGAGTTCCCATAAGAAATAAGGGTTCATAATCCCCATTAAATTTACCAGTGAATCAATAACACCTACGAAGTTGTGTTTATAAGGGGACCGAAGCACGCCACCATGCTGATTCAATTGAATTTGTCGTCAAGGGTGTTCCTTAAAAATAATCATTTTTTGATTCCATTACTTATTATTAAACAAGTACATTAGTTGCCTGAAATGTGAGGATATACGGGCTCACAATTCGTGTAAAAATGGACATTCATGAAAATAATGAGATTTGTGCAGATTAGAAACAAGAGTAATAAAATTAACAGAACAAAGATGACTATTACAGTTTAACGCCGATTCGAAACGATCAATGAGCTTGTAGTCAATGTACATCAATCAATAGTTATCATCATTAAATTATTTGAATCATACACAAACATATACAGCCATGCCTTCACCGGGGCTCGAACCCGAATCCCACCGCACCATAGTCGGATGTTTTCAGGACCAAGCCACGGAGGCCGACTACGATGATCAATCAGTATGCGAATACAAAATATACGAAAAAACAATTTCAATTATACTTCTACACTACAGAGAGACATTATGTGATGAACTCGTGCTTTATTCATAACCCACACTTTACAAGTTTTCTTTCCATGTGAAACACCAAAGAAATAAATTTGGAAACTCTGATGTTAACGAATTGTATTCTGCAGTGCACCATTTTTTGTTACTAAGTATATAATATATTCAAAATTTTATATTAATGAAAAAACAGACTCCACTACACCTTTTCTCTCAGGTTTAACGAAAATGTTAAATCTGACAGAAAAAATCTGCAGATCTTGAAAATAAATTATTTACAAAGCTTAGAAATACAGAAAATATTATCCGACAAAAGCAAGGCACATTTTAAACCAACAGAAAGTCATATCTTCTTTTTCATCATTTTTTAATTTTTTTGGAATATTCCAACGAACATAGAGCCAGCCTCTTTGTGATCATCTATTATGTGCTCAATGCAATGTTCAAGAAGAATTCATTCATAATTTACGCGCACGTTAACATCTAATATGACATTTGCTGCCAAGGTTCCAAACATTAAAAAATATTTCTCTAAGATATACCTAGATTTCATTTTGTTTTATTATATTTTACTACTACTTAAGGTAGATATAAGGCAGAGTGAAAAATTATAATTGAGTAGATCATCCTGAATTTTCCTAGTCAGCACCTGTAGGTATATATAAAACAGGTGTAAGAGTGCCGGAAGGAACTATTAAAAAATATCGATTTGGGACCAGTACCTAATGACCAGATCAAGGCACTACCGTTAGACAGTCAATAGAGGATTCTATAGGTAGTAGAACGAAATAAATTAGCCAGTTTCAGATACGCTGGATATGATAACTCAGATCAACGGTAGAATTGATTCTGACATTGGAATGCCACTTTAGGAATAGACATTCGTCAAGGAGAGATACAACCTTAGAACAATACGGACGCTTGGTGTTGAAATACTATCAACAATGACGATAAATGACGTGAAAATGAAATAATTTAATTATATATATATATATATATATATATATATATATATATATATATATATATATATATATATAATATTTTATTGTTCAAACTAAATAAAATTTATAATTTATAAGTTCCGTACATTAAGAGGGGAAGAAGAAACATTTATTGTAGTTTCTTTGTTTACAGGTAAGACTGTGTTAGATAAGTAAGGTTTTTGTGAAACATGCCATGCGGGACTTACGCTAAATAAAATTACTTTGTTTACAGAGAAACCAATCAGTTTTATTCCACCTTGGGAGAGAAATATCTTATAAAACTACAATACTTGTTCATGATGGCACCAAAACTACAATTTACCTTCACATACGTAGCATCAAAAACAGACAAAAAGTCAAATGTTATCATTATAACCTCAATATCAACAGAAGATAACAAGAAGTATACCTTGGAAGAAGATGATAAAATTGCAAGTAAACATGTCGCTCTCAGCAAAACGGACAGCTTTAAACGATTAAAAAGGAGCTTGAATCAAAGAGGTGCAGTGAGAACAATATGGATAACTTGTAGTGAAAAAGAAATGATAAATACCTATTTTGACGAAGATGAAAACCTAATGTTCAACGATATGTACCTCAACGAAATAAAACAAACAAAATCAGAAGATACTACTCCAAAAATAGAAAACAAATTGAATTTAAAAAATATATCAGAAAGATTTATGATTGAAAAATTTGTTTGTAAATTCACAAATGCAAAACAATGGATGGATACATTTGAAAAAGAATGCAAACGACATGAAATTAATGAAGATATAACAAAGATAGAAATATTAAGATTATTTCTGGACAAATCATGTGCAGACTGGCACTCGGCTACACTGAAAACCCTGAAAATAGAAGCAGAATGGTCGGAATGGAAAGAAAAATTTTTGGAAACATTTGCTGATAAAGGATGGAGTACAGGAATGTATGCTATATATTACAGACATAAAGAAGGATCTCTGATGGAATATGCAATAAGAAAAGAAAAACTGTTATTAGAAATGGATGAAGATATTGGGGGAAAACTCTAGTGATGCTGATAGCAGCTGGCTTACCTGAATATATAAGAAACAGAATTGATCCAGAAAAGTGCGAAAATTCAACAGGATTGCTTCATGAAATAAAGAAGTGCGAAGGATTGGTCAACAGTAACTTTATTAAAAAGAGAGAAGATAAACAAGATAACAAGAAACACATTATAAATAAGAAGCCATGTAAAATCTGCGAAAATTTGAATAAAGGTACCCGATATCACCCAGAACAGTCATGTTGGTTTAAAAAGAAGGAAAGGAAAGTAAAATCATTGGAAGTAATTCGGTATTAGAAGTTAATCTAAACGAAGAAACAAAAACGAGTAATCACACCATTGATAAAAATAAAAATGTTATTAGAAGACAAAATACTAGTAAATGGAACATATGATTCAGGTTCCCAGGTCTCTCTAATCAACAAAAGATTAGTAAAAATACAGAGTGTTTCAGAAGATGCAAATAGAATAAAATTAAAAACTGTCAATGGTGTGACATACACGAAAGGTTTAATAAACATAAAAGTAAAGATTTTTGATGTAAAAGAAAATGTTGATGTGTTTATTGTAGACAATGTTGATTTTGAAGATTTCATTATAGGACTGGACATGATAAAAAATTTAACCTAACCCAAGATGAAGATTTAAGAATAATACAAAAGAAAGAGAGAATAGAGACAGAAACTATGAATAGATTAGAAGAAAAAGCAGAAGAAGAAATTCGAATAAATTTTAATGAGCATGTGAATAAAAATGAATTTATTACAAACTTACATCATTTAGACTATAACAAGAAGACACAAATACAAAGATTAATAGATAAATATGATAATGTATTCGCCAAAGATAAATATGATGTAGGGACAGTAAAAGAATATGAAGCCCGGATAGACTTACTCGTAGATAGATACTGCAGCAAAAGGCCATACCGTTGTACAATAGAGGACAAAATAGAAATAGAAAATCAGATAGCAAATTTACTAAAAAACAACTTAATCGAAGAATCATATAGTCCATTTTCAGCACCAGTTACATTGGCCTTTAAGAGATGAAAACACCAAATCAAGACTCTGCATTGATTTCCGAGAATTAAATAAGATAATCGTACCACAAGCACAACCATTTCCATTGATAAGTGACTTGATAATAAAAGCAAGAAATTGTAAATATTTTACCACACTGGACATAAATTCCGCGTTCTGGTCTATACCACTACGCATTGAAGACAGACAGAAAACAGGATTTGTTACACAAGAAGGACACTACCAATGGACATGCCTGCCATTTGGATTGAAAACATCACCTGCAATTTTCCAGAGAATCTTATCGAATATATTGAGAAAGTATAACTTAAAAGAATTTACAGAAAATTACATTGATGACATCTTAATATTTTCACAATCATTTGAAAAACATATAGAACACATAGAACAAGTACTACAAGCAATAATAAATGAAGGATTCAGACTAAAATTTAAAAAATGCACATTTGCAGCAACATCCGTAAAATACTTAGGACATATAATAGGAAACAACACAATGCAGCCTATCAAAGATAACATTATTTCAATAAGAAATTTTCCAACACCGAAGACTCAAAAGAACGTTAGACAATTTTTAGGCAAGATCAACTTCTACCGTGAATACATACCTAACAATTCAATAATACTAGATCCACTGCATAGATTACTGAAGAAAAATATACAATTTACATGGTCAGAAGAATGTGAGAAATCATTCTCAGATATAAAAAAGATATTATGCTCACAACCAGTACTGGAAATATTCGATAAAGATTTACCTATAAGAATTTACACAGATGCTTCACTGAATGGTATAGGTGCAATATTGAAACAGATACAAAAAGATAGAAAAAGAAAAACACAAATTGATTGAAAGAAATGGAATACTCTACAAAAAAATAAGAAATAGGGAGAAAATTATATTAACTGAAGAATCAAGTATAACACTAATAAAAGAAGTACATACCAAATGGTGCCATTTAGGAATCCAGCAAATGATAAATAAGATAAGCCCATATTATACAGCCAAGAGTCTAACAAAAAATATAAAAAATATATGTAAGACTTGTGACACCTGTATCAAGAATAAGTCTAGAGGCCAAAATAAATACGGATTGATGTCGCATCTGGGACCAGCGACAAAACCATTTCAAATAATGTCGATAGATACTATTGGTGGCTTTGGAGGACAACGATCTACAAAGAAATACCTACATTTGTTGGTTGATCATTTCACAAGATTTGCGTTCATTCTAACATCTAAAACACAGAGTGCTGCGGATTTCATTAAGTTAGTGAATAAGGTTCTAGAGACAGAAAAAATTGATATTTTACTAGCAGACCAATATTCAGGATTAAATTCGAAAGAATTTAAAGAATTTCTGACAGATAATGATGTACAACTAATTTTTACTGCAGTAGATACTCCATTTTCAAATGGACTTAATGAACGATTGAACCAGACACTAGTAAATAAAATGAGATGCAAAATCAATGAAAAGAAGGAGAAGAAATCCTGGACATCAGTTGCAAGAGAATGTATAGATAAATATAATGAAACCGAACACTCGGTGACAGGCTTTGCACCAGAATATTTATTAGAAGGAAAAGACACCAGTATCTTACCACAAGAACTACGACAACCAACAAATATAGATAGATGGATTAAAGATAGAGAAGAAGCACTGGAGAGAACAATAAGATCCCATACTTATAATAAAAAAATATTTGATAAAGGAAGAAAACACATAGAATTTAATATAGGAGAACTGGTTTATATTGAAAACGGAAACAAAATGAATAGAAACAAGATGGACAACTTAAGAATCGGCCCGTTTGAAATAACAGGAAAAATTACCAATACAATATACAAAATAAATACAGGAAGAACAA